AGGATCCTGCGAGGATTACTCGGTACGAACAGTCGCTTGTGTCCCCGAAAACGGCCACAGCAAAAGCCTACTCAGCTCGCTGACAATTCTGTGCCAAGAATGTCAGCAAGGATACTGCACAGCTTGCTGGGTACGGTGAAGGGGGCGAGGTTCAGACTCCCTGGTCAATGCGCAGCCTTCTGATCTCGAATATCGACCAGTAACAACGGAATATGACAACCAATCCTTACAATCAACCAATTCCAGCATCGCTATATCCTCCTTCGAGCCCTTCAGGGTCAGCGGGCCCGACCACCTCAATGCGTCTAACGCCTACAGTCCCTCACCACTGTTGCACGTCTCCACGAGTCCGGCTGGGCTGCATTATGGAAGCCCGGACAATAGCTCTCATCTTGAGCCACCATCGATCAGGGAAATCTCACAGCGTGCGCGAGAACCAGCCCCTTCTCCACCAGGCATACCACGGATTACGACCTCCTTATTCGCCTGAGAGGCTTTTCGCTGGGCGTCAAATATGCGGAACCTCGCTCGCAGCCTGTCGTAGGTAGACAGAATAAGACTAGAATAGGGGTCTTTGCAAGAAAGTTGTTCAGGGATTCATGTTTCATCAGTGAGCTTTTTAGGGCGTGTTACTAGGCAAGGAGCTGGATACGTGGGATTCCAGTAGTGTTCGGGTGAACCTATCAGGATTGTGGTACAAGCCCAATCTCTTTTCGTCTTACGCGAACCTCCGGAAGTTTCAAATGTGCCAAAATTGTACTACAGTTCCACTTTCTTTCCTCATTTGCGAGCTTCGCAAAGTTTCGAATGTGCCAAAGTTGTGGTGCAATTCCAATCCCCTTTACCATCTGTGAGCGTTGGAAAATCTCAAATGTTGTGGTGCAGTCCCAGCATCCTTTGTCATCTGTCAGCCTCGCGGAATTCGAATTTGCCAACTTTGTCATACAACTCTGGTCTCATTCGTCATATGCTAGCCTCGTCATTTTCTAATGGTAACGGGCCTGACTCCATCTTTCTTCCCACATTTCTCATGGAACTCAGCGCTTGCTAGTGAAGCACCATCGTCTTCTGGGCTAGGCGATCTGGGTGAATACTCTGCATGCACCTTCACAGCTCTTTATCTATTAGCAAACCAACCTTTCCACCCAAAAGAGCTCAATCTGCAAGCCTTGGATTTTATTCTAGCTTGGTTATGGAAACCTAGCTTTATTCATTTGTAGTCTTCCTAAAGCTGTGGAGATTGGCCGTGGTTAAACGAGTGGGAATGGGATATGGCAACGTTCGAATGACATGAACAGAACTCGACAAAGATATGTTTCGAATTGAGCAACGTCCATGCAAGTAGTCAGCACAATGAAGTATTTAGCCGTTGATTTGCACCAATGTCCTGGTAGGGAGACTGAAAACCGGGTGTACATCCACCCTCCCCCGGTACAGACACGCAGAAGGTTATCAATAATAGCAATTCGGCCTTCTTAAGACAGCAGAATCTAATGCCGGCGAGCTAGACACGTGTCTAAACAAGCTTTTGTATTTTGTTCTGTTTTGCTTTCTTCGGCTTAAATGCAGCATTTCGAACAACAACCACAGCAACGCCCGTTCGCTGGCATCATCCAACGCAGTATTTTCTCCTTTCTTCCGTTCTTACTTCTCATTCGCTGATAGAATGCTGCAGTCCCCTGCGCGTCAAGAGCCACCCGCCACCTACCACCCACCTCCACCATCCAACACGCCAGCGCTATTTTTGCTTCCTGCAGCCTCGATGCCTCTCACAGACCTTCCCAACGAGCTTCTTCTTAAAGTACTCAAAGACGCATACCCACCAACGACCTTCAACGACCCTAAAGACTACGTCTGGTGCTATGACCAAGACGGGGAGATGAAAAAGACGGATATCACCATGACCAAGGTCTCACTGACATGTCACCTATTCAAAGACCTCACAGATAAGATTCTGGAGACACATGTGATTACCCAAGCCGAGAAGAATGGCGGGCGCTTGAAGCCGGGGATTCCGGGATGGAAAGACGTGATCCGAATGCGCGAGTTCTTGAAGGCTAGAGACATGTGCTTTGTAGAAATGGTAAAGATCACATACCAATATACAGTTCGTTGGGATGAGACTGACACAGGAATTATGTAAATTTTAGATGTTCGGGAGTCCGAATCCTGTGTTGTGTGTGGCTCGATCAGCATGGTTAAGAACTTTCAAATGGCGGCGTTATCACGGATCTGGTGGTTATCACAGCGAAACGCTTGATCATCTGACCGAGGAGATGTTAGAGCAGGGAGGGTGGGATTAAATGAAGATCAGACGGAACAAGGCTAATACAGGCAGACATGGCATGCGTTTCCTGTTTACTGCGCTGTTGATAGCGAATGCATAAGGCAATCAATTCATATTGTAGTGCGATGCTTGCTTTGCAGAATGGATTTAGGTTTGCCAGTCAGGCACGTGTGGGTGCCTGCTGTGATTCGCTCTATGCTCTTCCGTGATATTGACTGCGGTTGTCCTCCTATTCGCGGGTTCAAATATGACTAAATCCTCCCGATGTATGGTTTGACAAGACTGGTCAGTGTTAGACGACCACAAACAATACCACCATTGCCCAACACCTTCGTACCTGACATTTGGCTTATGATTTTTGAAAGTTTTTATCCACCAGACGCCTTGGAACCGTTCGATTTTGAGAGAAATTGGCCGCAAGACGAAAGATGGTGGCACCAGCAGCTGGTAGAGGCAGATCTAGCCATGGAAAACTTAGCTCGAGTGTCTCGCGGCTTTTGGCAGATATCATTCAAATACCTCAGAGACCATGGCATACTGCTTCAGAAAGAGAAGGCCGAAGGCCGTCTAGGCCACCTAGTTCGTGCAACGCTAGATACGTGGCTCGAAAGACAAGGTTGGCTAAGGGGTCCTCGGAGGAGGGAGGCTATCGATGTTGCGAGGATGAGGCATCAGAACCTGGTCGAGCTTGAAAAGCAAGAACCACTTCGTATCTTGAGTTGGAAGATATCACCTGGTATCATTTTCGGAGGGCACAGCGGTATAGGAGGATGTTTGTGGGCTGGGACGGATGGAGACTCAAGTTGGACCTGAAGATCGGGTTGTTTGGGATAGATAGAAGGAAGCAGATTTCAGAGAGTTTTAGCTTTTCCATTGAGGGCAGAGGAAATGATAGGTTGAAATTATGACTAGGCGAGAGCTATGGCAGAGACGTGTCCAGCGTCTCTGTAACATCAACCCTGGCCACATTCGACAATATCTTTGCCGCTTTCTTCGACAGCGATGGCTTGCAATATTGTAAAAATGGCCCTTATCCAGTCGATGGGAATAGGGAGTAAGTATGGACGATGGGTTCTCAAAGGTCTATCAATAATACTTCCATAGCATTGATAGTCTAGACTGCACCCTAAGTAGAGCTCTCAAGCTACACAAAGCTCTCGATTCGAAAGACAAGGCAAATCAGGGTCGGCCCATGACTATAATCGCAGTCGGACTAAAGTACCACATGAAGGGCACCAGCGATAGTAAGGCGATACGCTTGGGAGTGCCTTTAGAGCGCTAATATGGCTGCTGGGGAACTGCAGGACTTGGAATGGCGTGCAAGCGGAGGACTTGAGAGTACCAATGGATAAGTGATGCGGCAGTGCTTGAGAATTTCGGAGCCATAAGACGAGTTTGTAGAGTAGGAATCGACGGACAAAAATCCATCTAGAAGCAAAGACCTTGCCAAACGTAAAACCAGAGTAGAAAGCAGAGGACACACGATTGTCATAAAATAGGGTTCTTGCAAACATACATCGTCTGGGAGCAGAGTTCGTGTCAGCTGATATATCTCAGGAGCAGTGAAAAGACAGCACTCCCCATCGGTCGTCAACTCCATTCGGTACTGCTATCCCCTAGAGATGCCTACAAGGATCCTCCTCACCATCAAGCAACAGCTCATTCTCCTTAATCTCTCTCCAATTCATCCTTCTAAAAATCTCCAACAATTTCTCATCATACACACACCCCACCTTGCCATCCTGCACACAATCCGCCCCCTTCCCCCTCCTCACCCTAATCTCAATCCCAACATCCTCCCATCCCTCCCCACGAACCTTATATCCTACCTCAGCATCCACCTTCTCCCTCTTTCCCCCCTCCTGACAAACCCACATCTCCACCCCCGCCCCCTCACCCTCCCCATCCCGCTCCTTAATTAACCTGTCCCACGTCCCCGGCTGCTTATCCCGTCCATGCACTTCCTCATTCCTATTCCCAGCCCGATCAATACTCGTGAACCTTACCACCTCCATCATGTGATCGTTCTCGCTCTTAAAAACCAAGTTCTTCCACCCTCTGCCATTCTTGATCAGATCACCGACCTCGTTGTAAGATGCATCATGCCCCCATCCATCCTCACCAACATTTTTACCATGGTAAGGGTCGTGTAGGATCAACGTATGCAACTGCAGTCCCGGAAACAGTAACACCACGCTCGAGAAATCAAACGTAAAATAACTGCCATACCCCTCAGACGGATACAGCGGAAACGGATACCCCTTCACCTCCACATGCCGTAGTTGCTCAAGCGTATAGCGGGGGATGCTTGAGAGGTAGTTGACGAAGTGCTCGGTTGTTTGAAGGCTGAAGCGCGCGTTGTTGTAGAAGAGGTTTTGGGCTTCGGAACGGATTTGGTGCGAGGTGTGGAGGAGGGGGTGGGTGAGGGTGGGGTAGGGGAGGTGGAGGGTGGAGAAGAAGGTGGTGTAGATTTGGCGGCGGAGTTCGAGAGGGAGGTGGAAGAATGGGCTTGAGGGCATGGTTGGTGGTATGGAGTGAGTAGAGTTGTCAGTGAGGTGTCTTAGGATATCTAAACGGTTGCTGTATACCATTTTAGAGCTAGTGGTCCGGTCACCGCAACGCTGCGTGGTGTGAAAGAGTAGAGTCATTCAACCGCATAATATGTCCCGATTTATCTTGTTTTAAATTATTGAATAAAAGAATTTCTACTTATGCCCGAATAGCTCAGCGGTTAGAGCGAGAGATTGCAGTTATAATTTTCTACTATCTCTAGGTCCATCGTTCGAATCGGTGTTCGGGCTTACTCTGATTCGAATTTTTGCCCAAGTGGAATCACACAGTCTTTTTTTGCTGCAGAGAATACGAGTGGAAAGTGGTGGAAGCACGTTGGGAAGTCCCCTCTTCCGCGGTCCCGTTTCAAGCGAAGAAGAGTTGCAATTGTTTCAATTTAGATACTTCGACCATTCATTTGTCTAGATTCTTGACTTAAGGATATAGTCTGCAGCTGTGTTCGAGCCTTCAATGGAGCTACAAACCGCATTCTCTGAGCTTTACAAGGGCATAAATTTGACACGAATCACGGTCTGGCATCCTTCGAAACAGTTCATTTTCATAGACTTTAAAGCCTAAACTTCCAAACTCGTTGCTCTACTGATTCATAAATGCACAATCCTAGTACACCATCGGTGCCCACTTCAAGGCCTCTCAACCTCCATAAACCCCTCCAACGCCCCCTTCTCCACTCCCTTCCCTCCCAAACTACCCATATAACCCTCAAACTCCCTCCCAATGCGCAACACAGTCTCAAACTCCTTCTCTCCCACCATCTCTCCCCTCTTCTCCGCGACCACAAGTGCAGTACGAACCGCATTGCGGATCTGCCTCCCATTCAACTTCTCCTTGCTCCACTTGTCGTGTACTAGCTGCATGAGAACATCGTAGCGAGCCTCACTGATAGCCCCTTTAGTGGTCAAATCCTGCAGGAAGATGCTCCACACCGCCATGCGACGTTCTTGGTCTAGAGAAGGTAGACCCAAGGTGACGTGAATGCGCGACTGGAACGCCTGATCGAACATGCCAACGCGGTTAGTCGTAAGAAAGAGAACGCCCTTAAAATACTCCAGCTGGCGAAGGAAAATAGAAACAAGTGCATTCCGTTCCAAATTCGTATAATCGCGATCTTGCAAAAAGATGTCCGCTTCATCAAGAAGCAAAATCGCACCAAAAGTAACAGCATAGTCAAAGATCTCCTCAAGACGCTCTTCAAGTCCCTCAGGGTCGGTGCCAATATCGCCACACGTTACATGGTAGAGGGGTTTTCCGTAGCTGTCGGCAACGCATTCAGCTGTCAAAGTCTTGCCGCTTCCAGGGGCGCCGTGGAGGAGAGCGACGAGGCCTTTGCCCTTTCCGGCTACGAGGTCGTCGAGCATGGCTGTTTTGTCGACGTAGGAGGATACCACCGCTTGGACGATGTCTTTGTACTCGGCATCGAGGACTAGGCAGTCCCATGCGTTCTTGCGGAAGGAGACGGGTCGTAGTTGAGTGATATTGAGGTCCTTCCAGACTTTGTCGCGAAGGCAGTAGCCATGGACTTGCTGTGGGCAAAGCAACAGGGTAAGCTCACCGGGCTCCGAGTCCGGCTGGATCCTGTCATATTTATTGAACTCGGATTCGTCACGGTGTGGAGGTTGGTCAGTCTTGAAGCGTCGATGAGGGGGAACATTGTTCAGCTCCTCAGGATCATCGACACCGAGGGGATTATAGTATTCGTCATATGCCGGTGGGGGTGCTCTACGTCTTCGAGACCGTCTATCGTCGTCCTGGTTGAATCTATTTGCTCTCCAATTCTTGCTCTGGGAAGATGCTGGCCCACGTTTCCTGTCGATGGTAATGGGCCAGTCGTTGCGGCGCTGGTATGCAAGATGGTCCACCATAACTCGGACTGCTTCATCTTCAGTCGCCTGTTGAGTCCACATCTCGCCAGTATACTCGAGATACTTCTGTCCCTGTAGCCCCCAGAATTTCTTCCCTCGGGCGATCAAATCAGCCCTGGTAGTCTCCGCCTCGGGAAGAAATTTTGCTGGAACAAGGTCCAAAGACGCAATCTCCTTGGTTCCATGAAATGGCAGAATGCAATGAGTAGACCACACGCGGCCGTAGATCTCTCCGTCATAGTTGATAGACCAGCAGGTCAGGTCCATTCTGCTATGGCTGTGGCGTCCTATAAAACCAGGGCGACGTTTCTGCATACCGCGGATAGAGTCAACGACGAAGGCCTCGCGTTCACCGTTCTCGATGGTGTAGACGATCGTGCCAGGCCGATATAGCATCCAGACATCGGGCCAGGTGATTAAGCCGGAAGGATTTGCGGACTCGATGTCATCGAGCTTCTTGGTGGTGTCAGGACAGTCACTGCGCATGAAGTCGACGAGGACTTTGGCATGGTCCGAGAGTGGGTTGGACGCGGCCCTGTCTTCAGCCAGGTTCGTGAGTTGCTCCCGATTATGGAACAAGACCATCAGAGGTTCCGTGAGATGGAGATCCCCATTGACTGTGTCAACGTCGGTTTCATAATGACACACGTTGTGAAGACGCTTGATTAAGGCGGGTGACGCAATCTCTGCCTTCTTCTTCCAAAACCGTTTCCTCTCGTCGAACTCCCGGACAATGGTCAAAACGTTCTTGTTGCCGAGGTTTTCGGAAACGCCATGGTCACCTGGGGAGTCGACATCGGGCTCACGCTGGGGCTCTGGATCTCCGTAGTAAGTGGGGGACTCCTTCAACCGCAGAACCTCTAGTTTCGGCTCTCTAGTTGCGTCCTCGATCTCTTTTGGCTTGTTCCCAACCCCGATGATTTCTATGGAACCTGGTACAGGAGGACCGGCCCGAAGCTGGAGGTCGGTGATCATATTTTCGAGCTTCTTCAAGTAGTCGAAACCGACAGTGACAGTACCATTAGGATTAGTAGATTCTTTCGCAGGTTCATTGGTGCCTTCAGCGTGATATGGTTCGACATGCTTGGACTGAGATTCCGTCTCAGAAGCATCATCGTTATCGTCATACTTGTCTGGCCAGGCCAACCGGTGTAATCTATTGGCCTCCTCCTGAGAAAGCACATCGGCTTTTCCGATGACGAAACCTTCTTGGTCAACCACCCAGCCATTCTCATCGACAGTCTCTCCTTCGAGATTGCCCAAATCCCCTTCAACAATTTTGCCAATAGGTTCCCCGTCATGGCCCCATAGAAGGCCGTCTGGGCGAACAACAAGGCCTTTGAGAACACCAAGGATCGAGTGGCGAGTAATCTGTTGGCTGAAACCGGTTAGGGGCAAGTGACCGTTCCAGCCGCTCATATGATGGTTGTCCATATTGAGAAGGTGTGAGTCTTGGCGAGCGTATTTAGGATACCTGTGTAATGGTTGTACTGAATGATAAAGTTGTTTGAAAGAGTTGCTTTGTGGACGGACAGCAGATTCTAATAAACTTTGTAAGGCAACTCGGAGCAGTGAATCATTCAGGCTGCAGCATGCAGCTACGGGCCTCAACTCAGCCCTGGATAAGCAGCAGTTAATCCATTGGATCAAAACTTGGAAGCTGAACGTAAGCGCGCTCTAGCCTCGCGGCTGCCTGACAGGCAGCGAGGACGGGAAGCCCTACTGGGCTTTCTTCAGCCCTCTGCATCATGACTTCTCGATAGAGACTGGTCGGCTGGGAAGGCTATGCCATGGCGTTAATCGAATGGTAGCTGAAAGGCCATTGGACCTCCATGCTCCGTGAAACTTAACATATGTGGCTGTCGTCGCCTGTCCGTCTAACTAGATGGGGTTAGCCCTCCTCAGCCATCTGCACAGCCAACGCATCAGTCCACATGCAGCTCAATCACGAAGCGAAGAATCCCAAAAAGCAGTGGTTGAGTGACGGAGGTTACGGATGCAGGGTTGATGCTCCCCGAAAAGATAGCTTCGAAGCTATATGACTCGCGCCGCATATCGGAGTTGCGGGGCTCTTCCGTGGGGGAGATGACAGGTCTATTCCTAATATTGCGGGCTATAGATGCGACCCTTTTGCGGACCGTAGTCCGATATAAACCCGTCTATTAGTGTATTCGATAGATCAAATTCCGGATAGAGACCCGGGAGCTGAGGAGTTTTTTTTAGTATACTATGACGAGGTCTTTTGAAGTGTTGTTTGCGAAGTTAGGCCAGCCAAATCTCCTCAGGTCGTCCCACACGTGGGGCCACGCTGTGGTTTCGATACTACTACGCCCTCCCAAGAGTTGCTAGTATCCCACTCTATACCGTCAATTTTAGTCATACAAAGATCCTATTGTTATCTCTCCGTTTCAGTGCCGGTAGCCTCCGGGCCGAATCCGAGCCGCACGAGAAAGTCGGTAGATTCTGGATAGATTGGGTGGGACTTGGTCCAGATGTCTTTCTAATCTCAAACGTAAGGGGTTTGCCCCTGACATCGTCGAAATGCCGGCGATAAGATGGAAATCAATCTTCTACGTAATCTGGTAGACTCAGGGAAATCTAGGCCTTTTGTCTCTATCTTGCGGAAACGTTGACGAACTATCATCTGGCCCTAGATTCCGGACTCCGAAAGCCAATGGTCCCATGAGGCTTGTACAGATTGAATTTCAGGGAGAAGCAGTGGTAGACGACACCTCCGTAGGCCAAGGTCAGTTGGCTTCAAACAGGTCGATGCTAAGAAGAGTAAATACAGGGAAACGGAGTCCCCCATGACTTGTGCTCGTAGATTGCTTATATGTCATAATATGCTAGGTATATGGCAAAACCCTCGTGAGGGAAGACAGAATGCTATGAGCAGATAATATCAAAGAACGTTAAACGTCATCGTAAGACAAATCCCTCTTCTCACCATACATTCGTAATATATCGTCAGAAGTAAAGTAGGAAACAAGCCGAAATTTAGATCGTAAGGAAATGCTCGCTCATTGGACATGAAAAGACCAGATTTTGAACGACTGTGGGTGTCAAGCAGCCGGAGACACCTCCAGATTTTTCATACGCTCCTCCACGCTCTTCACCGCTTCTGGATCAAGCGGCTTCTTCACTTTTTTTGGGCGGTTTGCGAGGACAGTCGTCGCATTTTTCGTGTCCACAATTCTCACATGTCTTTCCATGGTCCTTGAACATCGTGTCGCACTTTTCACAAGTCCATCTGACGTGGGTACGTGCGGGTCTCAGCTCACGCCGTCCTAGAGGATATAGCTGTTCGCTATCACCGGGGTAGCCTTCAGGATACTTGTTGAGTTTTGGCCTGAAAATGTTAGTGATGA